AACATTAAAAAAAAAAAAAAAGAAAAAGGAATACTATATCCCCCCAAATCAATTAGAAACCGGACAAGAGCTATAGTTTACACACACACACACACCTTCACTGAAGAACATAAAAGACCTGAACAAATGATTAAAAAAAAAAATGTTCCTGAATTAGGAGCATTAATTTTGTGAAACTGTCATTTCTCAAATTGATCCATAAATCAGGGCAATCCCAATGGAAATCATTTTTATTCCAAAGTCCTAAAGAATCTGGATTTTGATATATGAGACGCTTAAATATAGAGAACAAACAGAGGGCTGCTGGAGGGGCAGACTAAATGGGTAGTCTGGGGGGATGGGCTACATGGGTAAGGGGCATTACGAAATCTACTCCTGAAATCATTGTTCCACTATATGCTAACTAACTTGGATGTAAATTAAACAATAAATTACTTTTAAAAAAAGAATCTGGATTTTGAAATTTATATGGAGGAATAGATGAAAAGACCAGCTAAAAATATTCTGAGAAAATAAGAAAGGGAATTTGCTGGACCCAGATAGCAATACATCCTATAACAAGGGAGCAACCATTTCCTGAAGAGTCTCCTGCAATAGCCTAACTAGCCTCTTAAACCTCAACGGACTTTCTTTCTTTTTTTTTTTTTTTTAAGGTTTTATTTATTTTTAAGAGTCAGCATGAGCTGCGGAGGGGCAGAGAGAGAATCCCAAGCAGGCACCACACTGTCAGTGCAGAGCCTGATGCGGGGCTCGAACTCAGAAACCGTGAGATCGTGACCTGAAGTCAAAGTGAAGAGTTGGAGGCTTAACTGACCGAGCCACGCAGGTGCCCCCAGGAGCCCAAGCAATCTCATAAAGTCTTCATGAAACACTCAAAAACCTTTCAATGGCCAACCGTTGCTCGTTGATGAAATCCAAAGTCTTTCCCATGAGCTAAGCTCCTACAGATCTGGCCTCTGCATTTCTACAACTCCAGCCAGCGCGACACTCTTCCTGGGCTCTGTGTCTGGTCACCTGGCTTCCTTTCTCTCCTCCACACAAATCCAACTCTCTCCCGCCTCACGGCTTCTGTGTCTGCTCTCCAACCTGTGTCGGTCTCTCCCCTGGTCCTTCCTTTTCCATAGATCTCTGAGCAGATATCACCTGTTCAGTGAGACCTTCCTTTACAACTCTGGGTGCAGGAGGCCATGCCCAAGGACACAACATCAAAGCCACACAAGAAGTGGCTCGCCTCTCTCCCTCTGTCCCTTTCCCTCTCTGTCCTTCTCTTTTTCTCACCTCATCTCTAGCTACCCTGCCTCGCTCATTGCACTTAGGAAATACTCGCCTTCTTTCTGTTGCTTAAAAACTCAAATAGTTTGAGAGGTCACACCTTTGGACCCTGATGTTCCCTCTGCCTGGTTTGCTCCCTCACGCTATTCTGCTCAAATAGCATGGCCTTTCACTCAATGCACTATTGTCACTTTCTGTCCCCTTCCTTACCTTTCCATTTTAACGTGGATCGCTCCCTGATAGCATACTATACGCTCACAGATACGTTGTCTGTGTCCCCCAGTAGAACCTAGAGCTCCAAGAAGGCAGTTTTGGGGACCATTGGCACAAAGTAGGAACTCCATAAATGTTGGTTAAATGAATGAATCTATCAAAGTAAGAGCCCAGTCAGTACGTTATGTAACTATTAGTATTGTTCTCCTGGTACTCCCAAAGCCTATTTCATGGCATTGCACACAGGGTGCTCAGTATATATCTGGTGAATGAACAGGGAGGTCTTAACTTATGCTATTCTACATAAACAATTTACAGAGCGAACGTAGTCCCCTAAAAGGGTTTTCCTGCCTGTTGGTAGATTCATTTGTTGAAAGTGATATGGATTATGGGGTGCCTGGTGCCTCAGTTGGTTAAACATTTAACCGGCTCAGGTCATGATCTCACGGTTCATGAGTTTGAGCCCGATGGGGCTCCCTGCTATCAGCACAGGGCCCGCTTCAAATCCTCTTTCTCCTTCTCTCTGCCCCTTCCCAGCTCGCCTGTGTGCATGCCCTCAAAAATAAAAAATAAACGTTAAAAAAAAGTGATATGAATTTATAGCTCCCAGAAATTTCTACTGGCAGGTGCTCCCACCTTACACATCTAAATGGATCTTCTGAACATCATGTCCTCTCTCTAATCACAGATATTTCCCTGGATAATCTCCTCTCACCTCAAACTGCTTTCCCCAAACAAACACACCCTCCTGCGAATAGACACATATACACCTTCCAGAACTACGGAGCAAGAGGAAAGCCAGGCCAGGCCTGAGAGCTGATCCCAGAAAGCCTATCATGATCACCTCTAAGACCACGTTCTCTGGAACATGGCTGCTGACTCCCAGCTTCCGGCACAGCTCTCTGCCTCTGGAAAAGGCAGAGCCTCAGGTCTAAGACAGCAGAAGCCCTCCAAGTGAGACTGCCCCTATCTTGCAGCCCATAAGTGCACTGCTCGCCCATCTCTCCCCACCGTCCCCGGACTCCTGGGCTCTTAGAACAATGACTGTCCTCCCACTGCGGGGGAGCCCGGCCCCTACCCTCACCCACAGTGACAACTGGTCCTTCAGTTTATTTTTCCATCCACTTGCTGGCGAGGCACAAGGCTTCTCAAAATTAACCGCTACACCCCACTCTCCAGAACCAAGTGGAGGAAAATCCTGGCTTAAGTGACTACCTGGGCTGGAGTAGAAAATCGTTTTTACTGAACGTGTTCGGTGACCCTGGCCATTGACAAAGATTCTGTCCTTGACCAAACTCTAGCCAGGCTCCCCGAGCCCTTTCTCTACTAAGCCTATAAAGACCAACAAAAAACAGTCTCTGACAGCTCAAGGTCACATCCCAGGGATGACCCTAGCCCCTCTTGGACCGAGAAAATTCAAGGCTGCCAAAAAAATGTACTATTTGTTCCAGCCAACACTCGAAGACAGGGCCCCTGTCTCCCAGGCCCTGTGGGGGTGCTGGAGCCAAACTTCTCTGAGCCGGGTGGGCAAGCCCTCATGGGCTCCACATGACATCCTTGACGCCATACTAAGCCACCCCTTCCCGCCCCCTCCGCCACCATTCTCCTTTTAAAAGGTCCCGTCACTTCCGTACCAAGGCCGAGTTCAAGTCACCCTGGGCTCTCTTCTCTCCTGCGATAGTTATTACTGGTTAAAACCTGTCCGGCTTTGTTCATCTTTGACACCACGACCAAGAGGCGCAGCCTCTGGACAGAAAGAAGGCAGAGGGCGCCTGGACCCAGAAGGGCTACAGGACGAAATGCAGGTGGCGGCGAGGCCACGGGTCAATGCAGGAAAAAGATGCTCAAGCGCGCAGCTGGGTGGCAGTGGGCGCTGACCGGGTCGGTCCCCCGGGAAGCTGAGGACGCCAACACCCAGGCGCAACAGGGAACGGGCCGCGGCAGGTGCTCCCGAGGACGAAGGAGGCCCCTCCGCGGGCCGGGGCGCAGGTAAGGGGCCTCCTCGGCCAGGCACTTCCAGGTCAAGGCTGGCCAGTCCAGACCACCGAGGGCCGAGGGGCCTCGAATCAGTGAATCGGCTCCCTGAGTCCCGCCGCGCCCGCACTGGGGGAGCGCGGGGTCTCCAGGAACCGGCGAGGAGCCGAAAGCACCGCGGGAGCCCTCCTCCCCCTCTAGGAAGTCTGGACGTTTCCGTCCGTGTGGTGCGCGGGTCCTGGACGCCCCCGCGCCCCGTTTGCACAGCGGCGCCCTCTCGCTGCAGGTGGCAGCGTTGCAGAGGTCTAGCGGCGGTCTTGAAGTCTCGTTGCCACCCCGCCTGCACAGGCCTCAGCGGCTGGCCACAGATGGGGCCGCAGCAAGGCCGGGAACGACCTTGCAAATGTTTGGGGGTCCCACGTGCAACTGTGATTGAAAAGCCAGACACTGCCCAGCAGTGTGCGTCATATGGGGCAACGGCCGTTTGAGTCTCTTAAGCCCTCACTATTTCTGGAACCCAGTCCAGGGTCTGGACCGGTGAAGATTAATGAACAGTGTGTAAGTCTGTGCTCCTCTCTGTTCCCTCTAACCTCTGAGGTCTTGTGAACAGGGAAAGACTTGATATGCTTGAGTACTAACCTGTGGAGAAGGCCAGAAACTAGAGAATTAGCCCGACCCCACACTTTAAACGCTGAGGACAGTCCAGTGTGTTGCAATTTAGACTGGACAGGCCGGACTGCGGGAGGAGGTCCGCCCACACCATGCCCGATCTCTGTTAGGGTAAAGGATACAGGGAATGTACAGAACGTGATCTCTCCCAAGGTGCTACTTAGAAATCTCCGGTTCAGGGGACGAGGGCTGTGGCAGGGGCAGTTAAGGCAGGTACAAGGGAGAACCTGCCAGAAGTCTATTCCTTGTGGAGGCCCGGCAGTGGTAGCTAAAGGAGAAACCGGGCAGCCACATTGTTTTTATCACCAGCCAGCTTCCATGTTGGAGTGGCTGTGGAAAGACCAGGAAAACCAACAACTACGACCAGAGTCGAACCAGACAAGAGCTCCAACCAGGGCACCAGGCTTGCGGTTGCTGAGTGGGCTACACACACTCCAGGCCCCAGAGGAAAAAGCCCACGAGCCATAGCGATTCAGCCTCACTCAGCCCAGGGCCAGAAGTGCCTGTTGATCCCAAACTCACAGAGTGTAGGGAAACCAGAGGGGACCACAACCTCACTTCCTGTAACCCCACCAGCTCTTCCACCCCAGACTAGCCAGTCACAAGCCATTCACAAAAGATCTGAAGGGACGCCTGGGTGGCTCAGTCGGTCAAGCGTTGGACTTTGGCTCAGGTCACGTTATCAGGGTTTGTGAGCTCGAGCCCCGCATCAGGCTCTGTGCTGACAGCTCCGAGCCTGGAGCCTGCTTTGGTTTCTGTGTCTCCCCTTCTCTCTGTCCCTCCCCTGCTCTTGCTGTCGCTGTCTCCCCCTCTCTCTTGAAAATAAACACTTTTTAAAAATTTAAAAGAAAAAAAAAAGATCTGAATGCACAGACTGAGAGTGCACCGTGAACCAAGAAACATTAATGGAGGATGATCAACATCTCCCATAAGGGGGCTGTCAAAGCTAAATTCCCAAAAGCTTCCAGGCATTGGGAAAAAAATATCCAGAAGCTTCTCCTCAGTTATCTTAGTTGCCGGGAGACCTGGAACAATGGAAACAAGAGAAAAGGTTGTGATCTCAGAAGTCAGCAAGCTATCTTTCTGGTGTCTGATTAGCCCAGTTAACTCCCCCTTACCAGGGTGGGACCCCAGCAGCCTCATCCACACTATGTGACCTAATCTCTTGGCCAGAGAAGAGTAGTGAACACACCTAAACTGGGCAAATCAGATTCTCTCTCCCAGGGATTTGTCACAGTCTGGCAAATTCTTTGGGCTACTCCCAGGATAGAGTTGTAAACATGAAGTCTGGGGCAACCTCTGCCGTGTGCCTGGGGATAGAGACAGCAGAGCTGAAGAGGGGAGAAGGGATCAGACGTGAAGAAAGAGTGGGGACTGCCTGTTGCTCCTGCTTGGGTTTTCCAGGGTCCAAATCTCCTGCTGCATATTCTTGCCTTTGGTGCCAGGATACATTTAGGAATCCTTATAATTAAGTGTACTTACACTAATTGAAATAAGTTTGTTATTTTTTTTTTTTGAAAGAGAGAGAGAGAGAGCAGGGGAGGGACAGAGAGAGAGAGAGAGAGAGAGAGAGAGAGAGAGAGAATCCCAAGCAAGCTCCACACTGTCAGTGCAGAGCCTGATGGGGGCTTGAACTCACAAACCATGAGATCATGACCTGAGCCGAAATCAAGAGTCAGAGCCATCCAGGCGCTGCAGGTTTCTGTTCATTTTAAAGAGTCCTAAATAACATAGCCAACTCACTGATAAAGGTAAAAGTCTCAGAACTAAATGATTCAGGTAATATGACACCCATATCCCTTTCGTAAAGGAAGTGGGCAGTCCTCAGCTCATGTTAACATAATAAGTTTGGGGGGCAGGGGGAGTCAGTACGTTTAGACATAGTCAATTCACCTTCAGAGAAAACAAAACTCTTGGAAGAACCGTATGTTGGAATTTAAGTGATGTGAGTTTATTTTTACATATCTGTCCTTTCAGTGAGCTACACATGGCCCTTGTCAAAAAACAAGTACCTACCGGAGCACCTGGGTGGCTCAGTCGGTTAAGTGTCCGACTCTTGGATTTCAGCTCCGATCATCATCTCACGGTCTGTGAGATTGAGCCCCGTGTGGGGCTCAGCACAGAGTGAGGAGCCTGCTTGGGATTCTCTCTTTCTCTCTCTCTCTCTCTCTCTCTCTCTGTCTCTCTCTCTCTCTGCCCCTCCCCTACTCATGTGCTCACGCTCTCTCTCAAAAAAATAAATGAACTTAAAAAAAAAAAAAAACACCAAGTGCCTACTATTGGGGCGCTTGGCCGGCTTATTCAGAAGAGCACGCGACTCTTGATCTCAGGGTCGTGAGTTCAAGTCCCACGTTGGGTGTACAGGTTACTCAAAAATAAAATCTTAAAACAAAACAAGTGCCTACTAAGTGCCAGACAACCTGGCAACGCTGTTCCCAGCATTAAAAAGAATGGCACGGGGCGCCTGGGTGGCGCAGTCGGTTAAGCGTCCGACTTCAGCTGGTCTGATCTCATGGTCCGTGAGTTTGAGCCAGCGTCGGGCTCTGGGCTGATAACAAGGCCTGGAGCCTCATTTCGATTCTGTGTCTCCCTCTCTCTCTGCCCCTCCCCCGTTCATGCTCTGTCTCTCTCTGTCCCAAAAATAAATAAAAAAAAAAAACGTTGAAAAAAAAAAAAAAATTAAAACACCTGGGTAGAAACAGTCAGCGATCGACTTCAGCCAGGTCACAATCTGGGTCCGGGAGATTCGGCCCAGCGTCAAGGCTCTGGGTATTGGCTCGAACCTGGAACCTGTTTCCGATTCTGTGTGTCTCCCTGGCTCTCTGCCCCTCCCGTTCATTATACCTTCTCTCTGTCCACAAATAAAATAAACGTTGAAAAAAAAAAATTAAAAAAAAAAAAAAAGAATGGCACGTTATTCATCTTTTGGCTCCTAGTAAGTGCTATGGAAGCTGTATAGTAACATTTGTGCAACAATGGGGGAGACCCTAAATGCCTGTGGAATTCATGAACAAGGGAAGAAACAGACGAGAGAATACCAGTCATCACTGTCAGAAGCCCGTAACTCTGTTGGCTGTGAGGAATCGAAAGTCATTTTTCAACCCAGAGCTGATAGTGATTTTCCCTACTCTCCTTGCTTTCTTCTCATCTTACAACATCTATAATCTGTTACCTTCCACCCTTCCAAACTATATTTAGAAGTTATGTTTTTCTGAAATTTGGCTAGTTTTGAGGTCTCTCACCCCCACCCTTCCATGCTATAATCTTCCGAGAAGCCGTGAGGCCCTGTTTAATGGTGTTTGCGGGAAATAGAATGGATGTTATATATATATTACATTTACCATAAATTAAATATTAATAACATATATACTATAAATATATATATATAATTTATATATAATTTTGTGTGTAGGAGAGAGAAATATGGCAAAGAAACCAGTAATTATCATTTTCCTACATTTTGACTGCTTTTCTTAATGGTGATTCTAGGTGAGGGATCTTTGCATATTCTGGAACCTCTAACTACAGCTGGGAAGATACGTTTGGTTTCTGCCTTTTCTTCTCCTGACTTCTGTGTATTGCACAAAGGAAGAAAATAAAGAAATATCTCCAACATCCCACAAACATTTAAATTTCTCCCTGTGCTGAGGGTGATGGAAATTTTTTTTATCTTGGTTACACAACTGTATTCATTTGTCAAAACTCACCAAACTGTATACTTGAAAAGGGTAAAGGCGGGGCGCCTGGGTGGGTCAGTCGGTTGGGCATCCTGCTTCAGCTCAGGTCATGATCTCACCGTCTGCGAGTTTGAGCCCCGCATCGGGCTCTGTGCTGGCAGCTCAGAGCCTGGAGCCTGCTTCGGATTCTGTGTCTCCCTCTCTCTCTGCCCCTCCCCTGCTCATGCTCTGTCTCTCTCTGTCTCAAAAATAAATAAAAACATTTTAAAAACTTTAAATTAAAAAAAAAAAAGGGTAAAGGCTATAAAGTATATCTCAATAAAACTGACCAAAACCAAAACGGTGCTTTACGCTCTCCCTTGCAGACATCATTTTATGGTGTTACAGTAACAGTGTATATATCATTTACTTAGTGTTGTATTCCTGCTTAGTTAATTAAAGTACCTTTCCATGTTGCTACTGTCGTCCTGAAACAATGATTCTGAGAAGGACCATGCCACTAGACAGGAAGTATAGCCACACCGGTGGCATCATACCATTTGGTAACATTTGCGTCCATAAACCCTTCTTGGTGCTCTCAAAATAGTTCATCATAAAATTAACTTAAAATCAAAAACTCAGATTGTATCACAGAGGATGTGGAGTAGGTGTGAGAACACATCAGAGTATGTGTATGGTTAGGAATAAACTCCTTTGAGGCAGGAGCTACAGCAGGTCAGGGTTAGGTCTCTCTCCTTCCCTCTGAGGCTCGACACTGTGTTGCCAACAAGTTCACTCCAGGTATAACTGAGAGATGGCTACACCCAGGCATCTGCTCTCAATGCACAGGCCCTAATCACTTTCCGTACCTACGTATTTGAGTGGGCACTGAAGAAAAAAAAAAAAAAAAAA